TATATATATGTATATATGTATGTATGTATGTATGTATCTATCTATCTATCTATATATATATAATTGTGTCTTGAATAATGGTGCCTTGTATTTGTTGCTGCAAAATATGTGTGACTTTTATAAGAGAGACTTTCATCATGGTTAAGGGTGTGTAATTAGTTTCACTTTGTCACCTTTAAAAGTGTATCACTTTAGTTTGTTCATCTGTTCCAATTCTCCATCACCCATGATGCCATGTGTCTTTTTAAGTCTCTTGCAACAGTCTGTTTGAAATGCATCACTCATGCATCACTTATGCAGTTACAAAGAAAACTTCTGAAAAACATTTAATATAAAGCTTCTAATTTCGAATTTGACAAGCATGTACTCTGATGTCAGATTTAGAAAAGTTTGCCTAAAGGGTGATGTGTATCTTTGGGGATGTGGCGGTCGTTTTGCCAGCACATTCTCCCAGATATCTGTTCCCAAAGGTCCAAGATTAAGAAAGATGTTGAAGAATTCGAGAGGGTTTGTATCACTAAATAAGGCCATGAGTGGAGCGGCTGTCAGTCTGTGGAGATACTGGCACATACATCCACTGACCCGACCACACAGCATCAGTGGACACTCGTCATATTTCAAGGCCTGAATAATTGGATAAAAATGTCTTTGCAAATGGGCTCAGTGCTCAGACCATACATGAGGTTTGTTAAAGCACACATTAAATCAAAATGACCCTAATAGATGCTTCTGGTTTTACTGTGAATGATTCATCAGTGCACATTATTCCAAAGGGGGAAAACAATCGTCCTCATCTCTTTCATCAAAGTGTAATAACCTGCTCTAACTCTGAAATGAATTTCCTTTTCGGTTGACGCCACTAAAAGGTCATGGTTTGGTTGGTTAAGCACAGCCCTGTTAACACCTGCTTGCGAACTCTTAACTACACCATCTGGCTCTATTGATGGAGATGTGCATTCGGACAAAAATATAAATCATAAATATTTCATTATATTAAACTAAATGTTTTATCCATTCATCCAGTGCAAAACTGACTTATATTTTCGCAGCTCATCAAGATACTATTATAATTGTTTTTTTTTTTTTTCATATTTTGAATTCGTTTTTATTTTTATATTTTTTTGTTAACGTTTTAGTAATTTGTTGTGTGTTTCTGTAATTTTTATTTAGATTTTTTTTGTATATGTCTATATATTATTATTTTCATTTCAGTTTTAATTTGAGTTATTTTAGTACATCAAGTTAAACTAAATGAGAAAATGAGAAATGTTGCCAACTAGCTGAAAAAAATAATTATATATATGTATAATACACACTCACACACACACACACACTTATTATACTTAATATATATATTTTCTTTTATTTCAGTTAACGTTTTTTTTTTAATTTCCAAGATGAGAAATTATTTTTTTCTGGTTTTAGTTTTAGTTTAGTTAACTATAATAACCCCGATAGTCACTAAAATATAAAGTCCCATGTGCGTGGTGGCACTGTGAACACATACCAGACGTGATTCGATGTTCTAGCCAACTTCTGTCTATTACACACACAGCCAGATATGCTGGACCACAAACACCAAACATTCAGTTACGTAATCAGCCATTACAAGCATTTAACATCTGCACAAGAAAGCAAGCGGAATACCGTCTCCAGTCAGCCAGTGTGTTTACATGCACAACATGATACACGATAACTACCACAAATCAGCTTATTACAAATACCTGAGGAGATTTAATAACTTTTCTCAGTTTTTAAAACACAAACACAAATGCACACACCAGAATGGCGGTAAAGTAGTTTTTACAACTTATTGCATGCAAACACACTCAGTGACATAAGACTAGACCGCTCTTATCCAGTAAAAGAGCAGAGAAAGAAAGCATGCAGCTATTTCTCTCTGCAAGGGAGCTTTTTCCTGTGAGGAAATCTACACAGGAAGTACATAGTTTGATCTGCCCATAGATTACATCATTGTCTGACCCACTGTACTAGATTCATTCCAACACACATGACTCATGTAAATACATAACCAACAAATCAGAAATCATGAAAATCAATATTCTAATATTCAGTAAAATTAAGTCAAGCACTGTTAATGCAGAAGTTCATCCACCATGAAAGTCCTTAAAATGACCATTTAGACAACATCGACGCAAGTTTTTTTTAAACTGAAGAATTAATGAAGAGCTTTAATAAATAATTACTTTCATGCATTTATGATGCTAGGTTCAGAGGTCATCGCAGCAGTGTTGTTATCATTAACAAACTATTTAAAAAAATAATTTTTGGTGTTTGAAATCAAACTGAAATAGTATACAATATAAATATTACATGAAAAACTTAAACAACTGAAATAAATAAATTTAAGCTGAAGTACTAAAATTAATAAAACTAAAACTGAAATAAAAAAATCATACCTAAATAGAAATAATAAATAAATAAAAAACTATTAAAAATGACAAAAGCATGTAACAAAATTAAGATAAAAATATTAATAAAATATTATAAAAAAAGAAATAAGTAAATACTATAATAGTATATAAATACTAAAATAACACTGCATCGCTGATCATGGTGCTCACCTTGATGCAATTGACCAGGTCGGTCTGGTAGTAGCGGTCGTGATGTGCGTTGGCAGCCGCCAATGTGAGAAGATACTCGTTCCTCGCGTGGGTTGCTTTGGAGTTACAATCGCTCCTCTTGGCTTTCAACTGAAACACACAAATAAGGTCCAAAACTTCAAGAAGTGCAAAACACAAGCCTCTGGAACATCCATTTAAAGGGACAGTCCATCTATAAATTACAATTTTGTCATCATTTACACATTGTCAAGTCATTCCAACACTGTATAATTCAGAGAGACAGACGGTGGTGTCTACCTTCACACTGGCTTTCTGTAAACTTATCCGGGACTGGAACAGACCCAGCTTCGACCTGAGAGAACACAGAGCAGGTATTATAAATCACAGATATATCAGACCTGGCGGAAGGAACAGGCAGGATAAATGAAAGCCTAGATCAAAACCATCCCAGATTTGTGTCGAGGAGGAAACAGACATTATAAATCAAACTAGAGTGGTTCACTCCTGCAACCTGTGAAAGGAAGGAAGAGGCTTTATAAAGCTGGCATGAATCTGGCTTTGCCATTGCTGATATGACTTCTTCTCTTACATTTACATTTAGTCATTTTGCCGACGCTTTTATCCAAAGCGACTTACAATTGGGGAATACATAAAGCGATTCTTCTTAAAGAGGCAAACAGATACAGGAAGTGCTTGAAATACCAAGTTTTAGGCATTGTTCAAATAAGTACAAGCTAGAAAAGGGAAGGAATAAATAAAGAGAAATAAATTTTTTTTTTTAAAATTTTTTTTAAGATGAAGTCAAGTAGCGTTCTTAAAGGAAAAGTTCACCCAAAAAGAGAATCATTTATGCACTCTCATCTCATTTCAAACCTGTATGACTTTCTGAAAAATGAAATTTCATAGAGAACATAGATCAGAAGCTCCATAAATGGAGAAAAAACATTTAAAGTGAATTATGACTTGTGCACTATATTCCACATCTTTTGACATCATTAAAAAAATTAAATTGAAGTACTAAAATGAAAAATAAGAACTTTAAATTAAAAGTTTTTATTTACTTTATTTTTATTTCAGTTCTTGTTTTTCATATATACACACACACACACACACACATATATATATATATATATATACACACATACAAAAATGTACTGTATAAAAATGACAAACACATGTAACAAAATTACTAAAACTACAATTAAAATGAAAACTGAAAATACACAAATAATTGCTAATTCAAAATATTAATAAATACTATAATAGTATAATAATATTAACATATCACAACCTTCCACTGTGGCTCTCATTCATGCTTCTGTATATTCTGATTTAAAACCAAAGCCATTTGGTGACATTGATGTCAAAAACTACTACAGTGATGCTGTAAAACTACTACTTTTGTCATTTGGATTTTGAATAACATTATGATTAATCACTTCTGGGTGAACTACTATATTCTTTGAAACCAAAAGTAGTTTTTTTTATAACCATCTATGTTCAAATTCAAATGCCAAAACCATAAAAGGATGGACAAAATTGCACAAACCATCAAAATGTTAATCTTAACATCTAACTTTCTGTTTATGTCAGATTTACATTTGGATTCAGAAATTATGTCTACATGACAGAGCCGTATTCATTAGAGATCAGAGTTGTTTTGGGGTCTGATACAATTTGATTCATCAAGTTTGCATGAAATTAAGAACACAAGACAGATTCTCTCCCATCTTCCTTCTACCGATGAGAACAATAACTGATTCTAATTCAGCTTTACTGCCAGCCATGCTAAGCAGCACAACATCGATAGCCAAAATCAATAGAAGAACTGAGCGAGGAGCTCACAACACCGCGCCACTGGACTCATCTTTCGCCTCTCTGTCTAATCCGGTCTTGGCAGAGGCTTTGAAATGGCAATAGTAGTGTGGGTACAAATGGCCCTTGAAGATGGAGAGAGATGGTTGAGTGTGTTTAACAAATTCTGCATCGGGCTAATAAATTGCTTTGAACAGAGTGGGGTATTCCCTACAGTGAAAAAGCATACCTTGAATGCAATGTACGTCGCTTTGCATGATAGTGTCAGCCAAATACACAAATGCAAATGTAAATAAATGTAAAAGGATTAATGAAATGCATATTTAATGAAGGCATCTCAACACAACGCCACATCTTTTATATTCTTTGGCGCTTTTAATGCTTTGAGTTTGCGATTCTGAGCCTAATATCTTTGATAAGGTGGAAAAGTGCTCAGCGCAATAACATTTTTAAATTACAGTACCCAAATATGCATATTTTTATGGAAAAGGCTCAAAAAGCTCAAAGAGTAGAGCATGGTGGTAGCAATGCCAATATCATGGGTTTGATTCCTGAACTGAAAAAGCATACCTTGAATGCAATGTACGTCGCTTTGCATGATAGTGTCAGCCAAATACACAAATGCAAATGTAAATAAATGTAAAAGGATTAATGCTACAAGGTATACACATTTTTATAGAAAAGGCATTCCTGTGGCTCAAACAGTAAAGCACGGTGAGAGTAGAGAATGGTGCTAGCAATGCCAAGGTCATGGGTTTTATTCCCAGGGATTGCATGAACTGATAAAGAGTACCTTGAACATAATGTAAGTCGCTCCACATAAAAGTGTGCCAAATGCATACATTTAAATATAAAGTAAAAGGATTTACGCTCTACTGAAAAATAATAAAATTACCAAGATATGCACACTTTTTGGGAAAAAAGTTTTAAAAAGCTCAAACAGTAGAGCAGAGCACTACCAATGCCAAGATCATGGGTTCGAATCCGAATGTAAAGTAAATATGTAAATATATGCAAAATAATTCAAGCTCTTCTTATAAAATACAAAAAATTACAATACCAAAATATGCACATTTTTATACGCAAGGCATTCCTGTAGCTCAAACAGCAGAGCAATGCCATAGTCATAGATTTGATTCCCAGGAAAGTATGAACTGATAAAGCATACTTTTATTGCAATGCATGTTGCTTTGCATAAAAGTGTTTGGCAAATACACAAATGGAAATGGAAATAAAAGGATTTAAGCTCTACTGAAAAATAATTTGATTGCAATGCCAAGATATGCACATTTTAATTAAAAAGGCTCAAAAAGCTCCAACAGTGGAGCACAGTGCTTACAATGCCATGGTCATGGGTTTGATTCCCAATGTTATGTAAAATGATTGAAGCTCTACTGAAAAATAATAAAATGACAATTCTCAGATATGCACATTTTGATGGGAAAAGGCATTTCAGCAGAGCATTCCAGCAGAGCACCAAAGTCATGGGTTTGATTCCCAGGGAACATATGATTTGATAAACCATACTTCTAATGCAATGCATGTTGCTGGTCGTGGGTTCGATTCCCAATGTAATGTAAATACAGTAAATGTAAAAGGATTTAAGCTGTACTGAAAAATAATACAATTATACAATTCTCAGCTTTGCACATTTTTATGGAAAAGGCATTCCAGCAGAGCATAGCGCTACCAACACCAAGGTCATGGGTTTGATTCCCAGGGAATGCATAAACTGATAAGGCGTAACTTGACTTTTCAAAAGGTACTAATATACAATTTTAAAGTACTAATATGTATCATTTAGGGGTAAATATGGTACAAAGAAGTACTTAGCGTACCGCCCCAGTGACAGCTTCGTACATTTTTTTTCTGAGAGTGAAGTGGTTATTCATTAATTAATGGGACTCAATTAATGGGACAAGCACTTGTGAAGTGTGTGTTTCTGATCCGGGCACCTCTGGGACTGTTTGCACCTGCAATACCAGACGCACTTACTTGGACTCAATGTCGGCCTTTTCCCGCACAGCCTGGGCCATCTGCTCCAGCTCAAAGTATTTCTTTTTGGACTTGGCCAGATCCTTCACTGAATCCTGGAGCTCTGCCTGGATCCGACCCAGCTGCTCAATGCACTGCGGGCGACCGTCGTGGGACAGCAGAGAGAGAGAGAGAGGGGGGATGTTAGAGAATTACATGAAGGATCGGGGCACAGGATCGAGGACCGAGGTCGGTACCTTTTTCAGCTGCTGTTCTTTGTAGAGGCGTAAAGTTTTGGCGGGGTCCGAGATCTCGTTCTTGTAGTTCTCGCAGACGTTGAGTCGAGACTGGGTCACCTGCACGGTGCCTTCAAGATAAGCCCGCCACACTCCATACACATTCCTGCAGCAGGAAAAACATGGTTACTGATTGCAAACACTATTTATGGAGCGCTATTCCCATGCAAACAAAAGCCCTATTTAGACAGTTTCTGATTACATGTACAGTAAAAAAAAAACACATTGGCACAGTTCCTTCGCAACAAAACTTGGACTGCAATCAGATGGCAATTTATTCACAGGTCGTCCTTCTAAACTGGAAGTTTGCTTCACACATGGTCAGTCATGATCATAATGAACTTACTCAAGGTAAAGTAAACATTTCATACTTGTTGCATTATTATAGTGGTCTACATGAAAAAACAAACAAAAAAAACGAAGGAAAAGTGTATATTTTAAAAAAACTGGATAGATTGGCTTCTAGTCAATGTAGTGGAGCAGCCATTTGATGTAGTTCATTTCAAACAGCTATCCAAATTTTCATTACCATGCAAAGCGTCAATCGTCAATCAAAAAAAAAAACTGCAGTAGTTTCTCTTAAAGGGGTCATATGATGCGATTTCAATTTTTCCTTTCTCTTTGGAGTGTTACAAGCTCTTGGTGCATAAAGAAGATCTGTAAAGTTGCAAAGACTAAAGTCTCAAATCCAAAGAGATATTCTTTATAAAAGTTCAGAGTCAGCCACTAGTTCACCCAAATATGAACTTTTTTGTCATTGCCTCACCGTTACATGTAAGTTGTTACAAACCTGTATGAATTTCTTTCTTTTGAATATTTTAAAGAATGTGGGTAACCAAACAGTTTCTGGTCCCAATAGAGTTTGGTTACCAACATTCTTTAAAATATCTTGTGCTCAGCAGTATAAAAAAAATCATACAGATTTGGAACGACAAGAGGGTGAGTAAATGATGACAAATTTTAATTTCTGGGTGAAATACACCTTTAAAATGTTGATTTAGAAGAAAAAAACATCGACATTTCTATTTTCGACAGTAAAATCACAATGAAATTAATCACTAGACAACTCTGAAACTTAGTTATGGCTGTGTTGTAAGATTCAAGAAACACAAACTATCGCTGTAAAACACTCATAGGGAAACTTGTGAAAGATGATTTTTTATTCACCTGTAATCTGTCCTCTGGTCGTCTGGTTTGATCCCAGGCCAGTCCCTCTTTAAATACTGACTCGCCAACTTCTGCAGGGCCTGAAAAATAGAAAAACAACAGAAAACAGCTTAAGATGCTTGAATGTGTTCGGTTTCTCACGCTACATCCCAATTCCATTACTATCCAGGTAATGGAAGTATGCAAAACACAAATTAGTGTGTACAAAATCTTAATATATTTATAACAGTGTGCCAAAACTTGGGTAAAATTACCCAAGCCCAACAGACATTTTCAGCTGAATAAAAAGCTGTATATAAATGAATCTAAAAGTTATGTATTCATGAATATTAAGCGAAAAAACTTAGCTAGATGCTAATTCTTACAATCAAACACAAACGGAAAACAACAAGGTCAACAAGACATTTCATGAAGTGAATGTCTGCTGTACTGTTTTGCTTGTAGTGTGCAGAGATCTGTTATTTTGTGTTTTCGAACATGAACACAAAGCAATTAACAGGCCATATGCGTGTTCTCATGACCCTGTCATCAAACGCCATTTATCATGGATTAACACAAGCACAAACACATGACACGATACAAAGCAACCCAAATTCCAACGACCGTGACATATGTTTGCTGTTGGCATCAAGAGCGAGGAGTTTGCACTCTCCTCTGGGAACGTGAAAGGCCTCCGCTCGAAATTACACTTCCATAACTGCACAAACGCCACCTGACATATGGTGAAACGAACAAGGCGGCCTCACTTCCTAACGTGTTCTCTCTTCCGCCATATTGCAAATGGAGGAGAGAGATGAGCCTCTACGTGAGGCCGATTAGTCGCTGGCTTTCGTTGTATCCCATCCACACCTGCCCCATTCCCAGATACCAAACAACAGCATCTAGAGTGTGTGCGGATGAGAGAATGGCATGTGTTTGTGCAAGCAGCAGGGAATGAAGCAGAAGAAAGGAGCTGTTCTCTTCGGCTGAGGGCGGCGGAGGGTAAAAAACAAAACAAAACAAAAAACATAAAACACTTTTAGCAAATGCATACACATATGGTAATATATGCTGAACATCTTGAAAAAAAAAAATATTTAAAATAAATAAATAAAATAAATAAAATAAAACCCTTTGAGCAAATACATAACTAATGTATTTTGAATATCTTCAAACTCAAAGGCCAGACAACTAAATATAATAATAAATAACAAACTGTAAATAAATTACGCAATCAATCAAGAAATAAATAAAATCCTTTTGGAAAATACATAAATATAGAGCTGTATATTGATTATTATCATCAACAGCAAAAAACAAAACATTAATATAATAGCTTTGCACTAAATGGCTTATAGTATATTCATTGTTCTTTTCTGTTTCCAATTACTTCAAGAACGGTTGAATAGAAAACATCCTTTTCTTATGCAGACTTTTATAATATTTTGCTGAGAAATACAAACACAAAACACAATAAAGAAACGAAGTGTAAAAAAAAGGGGTACTATGCATGCTGTCTCAACAACTGGTAAGAACGGCACCAGAAAGACTGACACAATATCGACAACACGACTGCTGTTTCTTCAGAACTGAGCCACAGTCGTCTTGCCTGCGGTAAACAAAAATTTCACATGAAAGAAACAGGAGCCACTAATGTAAACATGAGGAAAAATGAGCCAGTCTAAACATGCAATCAGGCAAATCTGACAAAACAAGTGAAAGATCCAGAACCGTACTGTTAAATAAGGCCTGAATGTCTGAAACCTGACAGAAATGCCAGCTAATGGCACAGTTAAGGGGTCAAACCTGGTGCATGAAAAGCATGCAAGCATCAACCCCCAGCATGCATCATGCATACATTCTCAGCGAACGAATGCATTTTGTCCAAGGAGGCGTTCAGACTCGGCTGATTGTTGCTTCCAGATGACTGTCATCTACAGGCGTGTGCCGCGTCTGCTGAAGCGTGGAAGTCTTCCGCAGTTGAGCTCAGGTAATTACAGGCAAACACAGCACTTCATCTCCATAAACACCTGGTGGAGCGGTTGTCATGGCAACCGGATCAGTCGTCCTGTTGGGTCTAGATAAGGCGGACCACTGCTTTGAATCGGCGCTCTGATAAGGTGTGGTCCAGCTACACAAAGCTGAGCTGTATTCTGTCACGAGGGATCATGGGAAAATTCACAAGAGATCACTGCATTAATGACCCTGTCTATTTTTTCTGATTTCACATGAAAATGCCATATCATCTCAGAAACATGTAAGCTTTAAAGATGAAGTGTGTAATTTCTGGGATTATAGTGTCACCAAATAGAAAAGCAAAAATATTAATTGTTAAATTAAAGGCAAAAAAGGAATTATACATAAATATGAATATACAACAACAGCAATAATAATAATATATATTATTATTGTTGTTTTTGTTGTTGTTGTTATTACTACTACTACTACTACTAAATAAAAATATTAACAAAATAAGATATATTACAATTGCAATATTTCATAGTAAAATTACAATCCAAGTATTTAAGAAAAAATATCATATTTGATTTTACAGTACAATGGTAAAATTACAATGCTAATAATTGTTTTCATTTTTTTATTTTCAAACATTAAACCACTAAGCATTCATTTTGCAGAAAACCACAGGGAGCACTTGCTAATTTGATACCAATTTATTTATCTAATTTTTGTTGTCTCTACACATTAAATGGAATATGAGAAAGAAACATTCATTTAAAAACATACTTCAATTGTAACAAACATAACATCCATTAAAGCAAAACTATGTCAATTCAAAATGCAATAGTGAGTGAGTCTGAATTCGGCTGGCTTTATTATCAGATGACCATAATCTGACAATTTTCTTAAGGCCATTTACGCAAGTCTCTTGCAATAAAAAGCACAGCTAGACAAAGTCTAGAACTATTCTATAATGAAAAACAAGCAAAAACTATGAACTATTTAAAATGCAATGGTCAAAGTCGCCCGTAGAAGCGGTGGATGCTATGGCAAGCCGTTTTGACTTTTATTCATTCTCAGGATATGAATTCTTGATATCAACAATTCAATTTTTACTAGTTAAAATGTTAATTCTTGATATCAGGAATTAGATTTCTACTAGTAACAATTGCTATTTTTGATATCAGCAATTACATTTCCACTAGTAACAATGTTAATTCTTGATATCAACAATGACATCATCACTCGCAGAAATTGAATTTTTGATATCAGCAATTTGTTACTAGTAGAAATCTAATTCCTGATATCAAGAATTAACATTTTAACTAGTAAAAATTGAATTGTTGATATCAAGAATTCATATCCTGAGAATGAATAAAAGTCAAAACGGCTTGCCATATGGATGCATGATTTTAGCGAAACATCAGCAGTTTTAGGCTCGTTGTGCTGCAACATTACTCTTCTAATGCCTTCTTCAGTCCTCACTATGATTTTAGCGAAACATCAGCAGTTTTAGGCTCATTGTGCTGCAACATTACTCTTCTAATGCCTTCTTCAGTCCTCACTCTTCTCTCCGAGACATCCTCATCTGATCTGCAGAGAGCAACCACCTAATCACATTTCAGGGCACTAATTAAAGGTCGTCTAAGGCATCTGAAGCTGCAATGTGTCAAGATAAGTTAAGAGCAACTCTTCACATTACAACAAGACAAATGGAAAGTGAAAGGAAACTGTCCCAAAAGCAAGACCATAAACACAGATGTACAGCGCAGTAAAATGCAATGTGTGGAGATACTCGGTAAAGAATGGTTTGTGGTATTATGGGTGTGAGCATGATGTACTGCAGTGTGTATTTTAGTAGATGACACATAAAGAGGAGAGGAAATGCAAATGTGTCATTACAGTAGACTTCGAACCTCTAAGATCCGTGTTATTTATAGAAATGACTACCATGGGAAGATTTTGCTGTGTTTACTACCTTTAAAAAGTTTGGGGTTGGTAAGAAAGGCTGCATTTATTTGATTAAAAATACAGTAAAATCAGCAAAAAAATATTGAAATATTATTACTATTTAAAATCTGTGTTTTCTATTTGTACAGATTTTAAAATGTAATTTATTCCTGGGATCAAAGCTGAATTTTCAGCATCATTACTCCAGTCTTCAGTGTCACATGATCTTCAGAAATCATTCTGATATGTGGATTTGCTGCTCAAGAAACATTTCTGATTATCATCAATGTTGAAAACAGTCGTGTTGCCGAATATTTTTGTGGAAACTGTGAAACATTGTATTTCTCAGGATTCTTTAATGAATAGAAAGTTTAAAATAACAGCATTTCATTGAACAGAAATCTTTTGTAACATTATAAATGTCTTTACTGTCATTTTTAAACAATTTAACGCATCCCTGATGAATAAAAAAACAATTTCCCTAAAAAACTGACCCTAAACTTTTTTTTTTTTTTACTTTTTAACTTTCTTAAACTGAATTAAGTGGAATATTGACACTATATCTTCTTTAAAGCTGCGTTTAAATGAAATTGAATTCATTTCATAACTGACAAATTTTACAACATTAACAGTTATTTTAATGTTTTATTAAAGGGGTCATATGATGCGATTTCAATTTTTCCTTTCTCTTTGAAGTGTTACAAGCTCTTGGTGCATAAAGAAGATCTGTAAAGTTGCAAAGACTAAAGTCTCAAATCCAAAGAGATATTCTTTATAAAAGTTAAGAGTCAGCCACACCTACCTAAAACACCTCGTTTAAACACGCCCCCACATATCTACGTCTGCTTTAAAACAGTCTGTATTGTATAAAGCACTATATAAATAAATGTGACTTGTAAGTAAATTAATCAGTACACTAGAAATCAATATATTTAAACTAGATTTTCACATTCGCTGGCTAAAAATTTAACGTCTAATCACTAAGAGAAGTAACAGCACACCTTTCCTCAACAAACCACACCCAATGCCTGTGGTTTGTTCGAACGCCTCATGTCTAAGTATGAGCAATAGCAGCAACAGTGATGTTTTCCAGCATTAATGAATACGGGTGCTGTGTTAGAAAGACCATTATTGGTCATAGGTGTGGTAGCAAGCAGGCCAGTCGTAACAGGAAGCTCCCACCACTGCACAC